CATTTCCAACCTAAGTCACACAAGCACAGTCCCATTGACTTAGAGCTTTCATTGCCTTTTCATCTTGCCAGCAGACAGATAAACATGGGGCAGGGGCTCACAGGGACTGCCTGTTCTACTCCCATCCAGTCCAGACAGAGGAATCTTTTCTTGGATCAGGGCAGCTGGGAGCAGCTGAGCCCCTGCTGGATGCACGGAGCTGCAAGACCCAGGTGACAGGAAAAGAGCTGATGTGTCTCTGCCAGCACCATTTTAAACACTGGAGACAACCATAAAAATCCATGGATGCTGTATGCCTGCATCCTGGCATTGATATGCTTAGAATTGTGGAATCATTAAAGTGGGAAAAGCCTTCCCAGCCCACGGAGTCCCAGCTGTGCCTGGTCCCCACCTTGTCCCCAGCCCAGAGCACTCAGTGCCACCTCCAGGGGACACCTGCAGGGATGGGCACTGCAAAGCTCCCTGGGCAGCCCCTGCCAAGGCCTGAGCTCCCTTTCCATGGGCAAATTGCTGCTGCTGTCCCAGCTGAGCCTGCCCTGGCCCAGCCTGAGGCCGCTCCCTCTGCTCCTGTCCCTGTTCCCTGGCAGCAGAGCCCGACCCCCCGGCTGTGCCCTCCTGGCAGGGCCTTGTGCAGAGCCACAAGGGCCCCTGAGCCTCCTTTGCTCCAGCCTCAGCCCCTTCCCAGCTCCCTCAGCCATTCCTGGGGCTCCAGCCCCTGCCCAGCTCCGTTCCCTGCCCTGGACACGCTCCAGCCCCTCCAGGGCTCTCCTGCAGGAGCAGAACTGGGCCCGGCCCTGGAGGGGCCTCTCTGGGACAATCCCTGCCCTGCTCCTGCTGCACACACAATTCCCCATCCAGCCCAGCCGCCAGGGGCCTCTTGCCCCCCTGGGCACCCCTGGGCTCAACATTTCCCCCATTGCACCAAATGCCCTCTTGGAAAATATTCACAGAAGTGAAAACAGCAGTTGGCATCAGCAGGAGCCCTCCAAAGAAAAGCCCTGAAGGTATGAGAACATCAAGGTATCAGTGTGAGCACATCTTACCCAAAACTGTGACTCCATCTTGTTCCCCAGGGCGATTGGGGACTTCACTTCAAAAGATGAATTTAAGAACTAAAATTCTTCCCTGTCTTGTGTCTCCTAGAAATCAGACCTCCTGAGAGAGACTCACTCCTTTTCACATCACACTTTTCCTCATACCCAACCTCAGCTAACCCTTTAATGACTCACAGCTAGCAATTAAGTCTCCTTTTTTGTCTCAAGTGAGTTAGCAACTCCCTCACTCCTGCTTTTTCTAAGAAACCTTTTATCCTCTATTCCATCACCGTTTCATTTAAATTGTCTGATTAACACAATTGCAGTTTAACTCAGTAGAGCTTTACCCTCTCCTTGTTTTCAGGCTGAAATTTGCTTTTCCTATCCAGAACCAAATAAATTTTGGCTGTTTACATGTTTATCTTTTGGTCTTTTAGTTTTAGCCAGGTGAGCTCCACAGCACTGGTACCATAGCTAAGAAGAGTTTGGAGTAAGGTGAGGTATTATTCCACCAAGTAACACAGCTGAAAAACAAACAAAACCACCCTGGGCTGCCATTTGGGACAAAAGAAAGTCCAGAGGAGTTCTGTGCAATCAGATTTCCCATTTTCCCAGGTAGCTGGAGGGATGATATCCATCCCTGGCTTGCAGGGGGGCAGTAGGTCTTTTCTTGAATCCATTAATTCAGTGATTAGGGGTAAAAGTCTCCAGATTTTGACACCCAAAATTCACTTTGGCAGCACAGCCAGGTTGGGGTTTTGCTTGGGTTTTTGGAGGGTGTCTTTTATTCTGAAGATATAAACAACCAAGAAGTGGGAAAAGGGGCAGCTGGACACACAAACTCTGCCAGCACCTTTTCCTGAGCAGGCTGAAAAACTCTCCCAGGGAAGGAAGCTTTATTTTAAAAGGAAGGAAAGGTAAAAAGAAGGAAAAAAAAACCCCAACCATACAGCCTGCTCATAGTTTTAGTGCTAGTCAGGTTATTTTAGGTCACAGCAGTTGCTTAATGGGCTCTCTTGGTTGACTATGAAGCATTCCAGCAGGGAAAAGAGAGTGCTTTTCACCATTAATTTTCTCTGAGCCTGCCTGAGCCTCCCAGGGGAGAGCTCCCCTCC